GCTCAGCCACCGGCTGCCTGAGAGAGAATACCTGGCCGGTACTGGAATATCAGCCAGGTAAATACCTGGAATACCTGGCTCAGGGAGTTACTACCTGAGAGAATGTGAACACCTGAGAGACATTAGAAATATGTGAAGAATAATAAACCCTACATTGTTTGTGTTAGGAAAACACTATTTGTCAGATATTGATATTAAAAGATTCTCAAAGATTCCTAAAGATTCTGTTCTTAAAAGATTCCCACATTTTGCACCCGCAAGATAACGTAAGATTTTAAGGGTTGACAGATGTCAATCTTCTTGTTTGAGGAGCTGTTCACTTGAGACAGTTAAGCAAGTCCCTTCTGTGTCTGGGTACAAGTGACAGGATGAACAACCCAGCGGGTTTTCTTCCTATTGCGGAGTGTTGTACATGCTGCTATGGCGGTGTGTCCCCTCACAGGATGAGTGGCACTGCCCAATACTGTCACTATGGCGGTGCACACAGTAACACCAGTGCCCTCACAGTGAGTAACACAGCAACACTAGTGGTGCACACAATAACACCTGCCCAGTGATACTGTCACTATGGCAGTGACATCAGTACACACAGTGTCCACTCACAGGATGAGTGGCGCTGCCCAATACTGTCACTATGGCAGTGTGTGTCCACTCACAGGATGAGTGGCGCTGCCTAATAAACTCGCCCCTCGGGGCAAAATTTAAAATCGGTATAATTTCCACAGTGGTTCAGTTAACTTCAGTACAGATGCTTGGGAGTTACCACACACCTTGAACCTCAAGAATGTATCACTCGTCGTGTACAGTTCTAACAGACCTCAAGACGCTTCAGCTTCGGCACATAGCAGATAGTATACTTCGACCGCATCAAGCTTTCACGCTCTTGTTCCTCATCGAACTCCCACGCTCTCGGCCTCATTGAGTCTCCGCGCTTACCATCCTGCATGAGCCGCCACGCTCTCCTACATCGAGCCCCGCGACTCCGGCAGCACTCAGCTCTATGCTCCAGACTTCGTCTCAACGTCTACGACACTGCCAACAACCGACTGCTGTAATCAAGACTACCAATTAAATATGAAACCCACTAAACACTCTTTATCTAATCATGCACACAACGTAACATAATCGTACATTACAAACTTAATCAAATACCTTAATCAAATTTTCCTTGGAATACAACCCCCCAAATTGTTTAACAACCAGGTTTCGAAAATTTCCGACATTTTTTTTATTTACCCTTAATATAATATACAAGAAAGAGTTGCTATTTTATGTTAAATAAATATTAAATATAATTATCATCAAATACCTTAGTTAATCCTACAAAGAAAATGGTGTACGTGGCATCTCTTCTAGAAAATGAGTTACATTGCGACTTCAAAATTAAATTCACCTATGAATAATATTAATAAATAAACTTTAAAACAACAGTCAGTGGGCCAGCAGGGTAGTTGGTCTCCTCCCCCCCCCCCCCTCCTCTCTTGAGGTGGGGGCCGCCACCAGCACAGCATCCCCCTCCCACCCGCTGTCAACCATACCCCCTTAAAGGTCTACCTCCCAGGGTGGGGGAGGTATCTGTGAAGGCGCAGGCATATAAACGCGCTGTACAGCAGCAGCCTCCCCCAGAACAAATAGATTCGGAATTACAGCAAACTTGGGTTTGCTGTAGTTCTAATCTCCGAGTTAGAAGAGGTTCGCTGTCAGCATGAACCAGATATGTTAAATAAACGTACGAGCAGACGATGAAGGAAGTATGGCAGTGCTGTCTCTGTCATTGCGAAGAACATCAAAATCAAAATCAAAATGTTTATTCAGGTAAAAGTACATACGTAGAAGATGAGTTACAAATATAATGTTGGATTTATAGATAGAGCTAGGACATACAATACCTAAAGCCACTAATACGTACAGCATTTCGGACACTATACTCACATGGTGAGTATAGTGCCGAGGCTAATTCCCCATCATCCCGCCGGCACTCTGATGGTAATCTCGGGCGAGTTTTCAGTTGCTTATATGCCTGGGGACCATTCAGGCTTGTTCGCATTTGTGTTCCTCACGTGTGCCCCAAAGAATGAGGTGATTTGATAAAATACTATGCCCAAGATTACCATCAGAGTGCCGGCGGGATGATGGGGAATTAGCCTCGGCTACCATCACTGTACTGCAATGTTGTAGTCAGACTGGGTCGTCAATGTAGAGAGAGGCTCCGTGCTCATAAGGCTGTGGCAGGCTACCGTCCCAGCTATGGCGCAAATGTGAAATTGGCAAAATGATGTATCTCTCATATATTAGATCTCTGATCGATTATGCTTACCCATGCTTGCTCTAGTGCCTGAGAGAATGCTTGGAGGGCTGGAAAATATGCAAAACGAAGCCATGAGGATTATCCTTGGATGCCCCCGTACAACTAAATTACTAAACATGAGGAAGGAACTGAATATTTCGTGTGTAAGTGATCGTATCATTGAAATTAATGATTTAATTGGTATCAAGATGCTTAGGCTAACCCACCCTAACCCCTGCATTGAAGCCCTCCAAGTCTTCTTTCTTGAAGGTCAGCATCCCTCCAAATGGATTACCAAAACTGCTACTGTGCTCAGAATGTATAATATTCATCACCTCTACCCCAAGAGAGAAAACGACACTTTTCCGCCCCATGGGAAACCGCCCCTTTCCAAATTAGTGTCCCTCCCTTTCCCACCCAGGAAGCTGATTAAAGAACAAGCCTCGCTTCGACAAGAAGCAAAGTACAATGCCTTAAGCCAAATTGATGCTTTAGTAAGCGAGTGGTCCCTTTCCCAGATTATTTACACTGATGGCTCCTTGCACCAGTACCATGGTGCAACTGGAAGTGCAGTTGTTGTGACAGCGAGAGATGGTTTCTTCTCCAATGAGTGTGGAGCGCGTATAAATGGGCCTCCACTCTTCAAGCAGCATTGGTTGCCATAATCTTTGCACTCGAGCGCGTATATGAATTCAAAGTTGACACGCTAATCGTAAGTGATTCCTTTTCATCGCTGACTGCCCTCAGCTCCCCAAGGCATAACTGTGACGTTCTTGTCTTTAAAGCAAGACACAGACATAATTTCCTGAACAAATAGCCTGGATGTGTCACAAAGGAAAGGTTGATGATATTCTTGAGAGATATAAGAATTTTGCACCAAGACTAATCTTTTGTTGAATTATCTGCATGTCTCTTGCAAATTGTCTATACAGTATACCTAGGTCATGAAAGTATTTATGTGTACGTCTGATACCATACTACTTGTGTAAAGGAGGAAATGTATATGTTTATCTCTCAGAATGTTCGGTAATACGTTTATTGCTTGTGATGTGTATCTATGTATATATTAACACGATGTACTGAACGGGGTGAGAATAGCTTGAGCTACCTCATCCCTTTGTGTGTATTTTACCTCAATAAACTTATTTCAATTTAAATTTCAATTCAATTCAGACATAATGAAATAATCAATGATGGGGTCAGAGTTTGTCTCCTGTGGATTCCTATACATATTGGTCTCCGAATGCATGATAGAACTGATGAGTTAGCCAAGACTTTTGCTCATAAAGAGGGAATTGATTACCATCTTGGACTGCCTTTTGAGCAGCCTGAGGACAGTAATATTCCAGGAACATCAAGAAAATCTCGTAGACTTGAGGCAAAGGGAAATTCACACCAGTTCCTCCATCTATCATTATTCTGTCATGCAGGAAGAACCGCACGTCAATGGGCCATCCAATAAGGTTAGTAGACTCCTCGATGTTACCACTGCTAGGCTTAGGCTCCGCTACAAGTACCTCTGGGAGTTTGTAACATCTGCTGATATAGATTTGACTAAATGTAAACTCTATCAGCAGAACTATTCGCATACTTTGCGTCATTATATAATGGAATGTGAAAAAATCGTAGAATTCAGAGATAACACCATCAATGGAGTCCAAGAAATGTGTTAGTACTTCATTCATAATAATGTACTGCCAGGAATCTTAGCGAAGTATCCAAAATTTGCTTAAAGTAGGTAATGCATGCACATGACTGTAAAGCTGCCGCCCAGTTGGGTGGGTGTGGAGCAAGACTAGTAACTGTGTGACTCATCATAGATGTAAAGTGCCTTGTATAGTGACTTGTGAGCCTCTTGTTGAATCACTTGTTATATTAAAAGACTATCGATGTGTAAATGTATTTGTGTAAATGATTGTATATATATGTACATGTATATATAACATTAATAACTGTGTAACTAGCTTCAAAACATTGTTACTTGCTTTGCTAAACGAAATATGGATTCATTTCCTGAACTGATTATGTGGCTCTGTAACCCTTTCCACCACCGCCCACGGGATGGGTATGGGGTGCATAATAAAGAAAGAAATTGAATTGAGTTTGTGGACTAGAATGAACAAAAATGCTCCCCCTTTAATAAACAAAATAATTAGTAATAAAAAATACTAAATAAAACTATTTCTTCCGAAATAAAAAACGAACCGTTTCTGGAGGCGACCAGAGCGGGAGGGAGGAGAAGGACCGTTGCACTAAGAAGACGCCATCAAGGTTGACGTCCAGTGAGACACACGCTGCACAGTGCTACAAATTTTCGAGATATCTTTGAGCCATTTTCCACAGCGACCTCACCAAATTATTGGGAAGTACCTTGTTTCCGGTTCTGCTACTTTATAATTATTATCTGGCCATATTATATTATGTAATGTTGAGCCGGTTATGAGGGAGGACAAACCACCCGGAACAGGTAAGTGTCCATCATTAATTTAATACTTCTCATTGTCATATCTGTTGCTTTGCATTGTTTATGATGTAACATTCCGGCAGGTGAAATTGTGACTGCATGAGCCATTTGCAGCAACTTAGCTGGTTTATCACACTATACGCGACACCATAACCACATGTCCAGGAGGAAATCGAATTTACATGATTCAGACGTGTTTATTGCTTGTTAAACAGGCTGCATTCTACAAAGACAGCTCAGCATGTCAATATTCATATTATTAACCAATCTTTTAATCGTAGAATAACTAGTAGTAAAAATTTGTATCAATCAATTAGTTTTGATTTAGTAGAACATAAAAATACCCCCCTAAGTTTGTGAAGGAGGTTACTAGTAGGCTAAAATTTAAACTACACAGTCCATTCTCTAAAAAAATATTTAATATCAAATTAAATATAACTTATATAATAAATAAATATATAATAATAATTAAAATAAATAATTAAAATCCCGCTAGTAAGTTTTCCCTACACCAGGTACCCAATCACTGCTGGGTGAACAGAGGCTTCACTTAAGGATTGGCGCCTAATCAAGCCTCTCTGGCTAGGCCAACAAACCCAGCACTCGCGAAGTGCCAGGCGAGTGCTTTACCACTGAGTCACGGGGGATTGTATAGACTCATTAACACATACATATTAACTGACAGAACATTATTTGTTGCTCAATGCTCGAAATATTTGTCTTAAAATCTCAATTTCTATTACAATATTTATTTCTGTGCTGTGCACAGTATCAACACTTCTTTATTACTGCCTAAAGTTAGTCAGTAAAAATTATAGTTTGTCTCGATATTGAAACATTTCAAAGTCCATTTCGTATACCTTGCGGAGACCTTGACGCTGGTGGTGGGAGAGGCTGGCCATGTAGGCCTGCAGGAGCTCAGAGGTCCTGCTGGGGGCGTAGGCTGGGAAATGCAGGGTCTCCGGAGCTCCAATTAATCGCAAAAAGTGCTCAGAATCCTTGACCAACGTTTCGTATTTGCCAATGACATCGTAATGTATGTCGCACGGGAAGCACAACTGCTGGTATGGTCTCCAGTGCTCATCAAAGCTTGTTTTAGGGAGACTCAAGATGTAACTGACGAACTCTGAGAAGGTGACTCCTGTATCAGGCTTCGGACTCCTTGAGTCACTCACATTCTGGCGGAAGGTTCTAATAACAGGTGCGTAATTTTTAATATAGAACTCTTCTCCTTTGTCCTCAAACTTGTCGCGGTATGCGGAGAGAAGGCGTTGGTAGGGATCCCTCACCACCAGCAGCTTGGTGTAGGTGTTAAGCTTCTTCACAAGCACTCTGGTCTGAAAATTAGTTTTTTGAATATTTTAGTGATGTAGCAATGCTTATAGACTATTTTGGATGTCAGATAAATGAGACAAATTTTAGTAATACCATTTGTTGACACCAGGATTTTTTATGTTAGTAATATATATTGGTATGAGATCTAATACAAGGGAAAGTTAAGAAGAGGGTCATTTTCTTTTGACAACTTTAGATCTCTTAAAAATAAGCGCAATAAAAGATTTTGGAAATCTGAATATATGCAGATTAAAACTGAGTTAATTTTTATAAATACATGAAAGGAATCAAGTTGAAGAGATGTCCAGAAGAGCATTGACCAACTTACCCGAAAATACCTAAAAATAGATTTAGTGTTATACCCACATGGTCTAAGTATACACAAGTGTACATTTAATGTACAATTAATGACAGACTTGAGGAACACAAAGGAAGTGTAAAGTCTGCAGAGACAAACAATGCTCTCTTCTGGCATGTTTGTGATTCTTATCATCCTTGATTGATCTTCTAAAATAATCTTTCCTGCCTCTACTCTTCACAGAAGCCGTCTTGTTGAATCTGCTCTGATACACAACATACCCAACATGAACCTTAGTCCTGGCTTTGTTGCTGTTGACTCTTCCCTTTCACAGTACATACTCAAATGCTACAACCTTCCTAACAAACGTGACCTGACTTAAGCCTACCCCCTATTAATTTTTCTTACACTACTCTCATTCTAAATTTATCCCATTCTTCCTTCATCCCATTCGTATATTTTATCCTATCCTTACCTTTCACCTTACTCTTACCTTCTTATTGGAATTACCTTCATCTCTTACCTGCTCACCCCACACCTCTCTTGCTGGCAAGCTGTGTTCCCACACAGTTGCTGGGAAGCTGTGTCCCCACACAGTTGCTGGCAAGCTGTGTTCCCACACAGTTGCTGGCAAGCTGTGTCCCCACACAGTTGCTGGCAAGCTGTGTCCCCACACAGTTGCTGGCAAGCTGTGTCCCCACACAGTTGCTGGCAAGCTGTGTCCCCACACAGTTGCTGGCAAGCTGTGTCCCCACACAGTTGCTGGCAAGCTGTGTCCCCACACAGTTGCTGGCAAGCTGTGTCCCCACACAGTTGCTGGCAAGCTGTGTCCCCACACAGTTGCTGGCAAGCTGTGTTCCCACACAGTTGCTGGCAAACCACTCTACACTCCAGGTTCTCCTGACAATCTGAGCCATTACCAGAGAACACAAAATACAAAGTGACAGTGCGACTACTCGGAGTCTACAAGGGCTCTGAGCGTGAAATTGCAGCAGCCATTGACAAGGCGAAATCAGTGAGATCAGTTAATGTCTATATGCATGGTAACGAGGCCACAGTAATAGTGGCAACAAAAGCAGACCTACAGAAGATCCTGGATCCGGAACGCTGGGTTCCACTACTGGAGGCGAACCTCTCACCGATTCCTCCCAGAAAAATCACTGCAGGGAAAACGATATTTGTGAACAGGCTGAACCGCTGGTTAGTGGGTAAGGCACCCGACACATAGGGCGGCAAGTGAACGAAAAAAACCCTACTCGGAAAACGACGACAGCTCTACTCGTCAAGAGTAACGGCGCCACTCGACCCACGATGAAGATGACCTTCGAAACAGCAGAACAGGCTCAGGAAGCAGTGAAGAACGGGTTCAAGCGCTATGGAATCACCTCCTCCCCAAACCAGATCGCCATGGAGAAAGTCTACAACGTGAGACAGTGCTACAAGTGCTTCAACTATGAGCACTTCTCCAACAAGTGCCCAGAACAAACGGTTAAGTGCAGCTCATGCTCCAGCACTCACAACTACAAGGACTGTACCGCCACCATCAAGAAATGCACGAACTGTGGTGAACAGCACGCTGCCACCTCTTACCTTTGCACAAAAAGAAAGGAGGAACTGAAGAAAATTAACGCCGCCAACCACCCAGAGGCAAGTCGCAGCAACCTTAGACCGTGGAACTGACCAGTTCCCGAGCCTCCCTTCTATAAGATACATGCAGACTACGACCATACCAGACCTACCAAACAGTGGCTCCTCCCAACAGATCACCCAGCTTTCACACTGGGGACCTAAAGACCAACCAGCACCCTCACAGTCCCTTGCATCACGTACAGGTATTATCCCTGGTCTTATTCGACTAGCGGAGAGGCTGGATGAACCAGATAATCAACGATTTATCAAGAAACTCAACGCGCTGTACCTAGCCAACGGCCTGGACCCCATCATCGCCCCAGGCGCAAGTCTCACTGCCTCCACTACTACTCCGGAGACTATCACTAGGACGACCACGCAGTCGATCTCAACACAGACTCCAGAACCACCCTAGACCCGGGCAGCACAAACAGAGGTATGTCCCTCTCCAGCTTCCAACGCTCCTACCATCACCATCTCAGCAGACGCGCTGGCAGACGTCCTGTCAAGAAATACTAACAGCACCACCAACGCTCCTAAAATAGCTTCTACCACTAATCCACGACACCTGGGTGGGAAACCTGAGCCTACCTCAGGTGTCGTGTCGTCTTTCGTGCGAGACGAAAGACGAAATCACCAACTACGGATGTTACGGACTCCTCAGACAAGGAAATCTTAGTAGGAGCACAAATACGACACCTACTCGGTACAAGACCACCTCATGCAGGCCACCTCACCAAACTCCAACGACAACACGGCTCAGCCAAAGTCTCAGCAAAAGAAAAACGGAAGACCAAGAGGTCTACACTAACCCAACCAGCTCCATAACTATTACAGCCAGCCCTCCGAGACTGTAATCCACCATAAAGACCCCCATCCAGCGCAACCTGTCCTCGTAAAAAGAACGTGGCTTTTGGCCGTTTTCCTGTATGGCCGAACATGGACGTAATTTGAAAATGAAAAAAAAAAATTATTATATATTTGGGATTTTTTTTCAACAACAGTAAATTGATTGATAAAGATTAAGCCACCCAAAAGGTGGCACGGGCATGAATAGCCCGTAAGTGGTGGCCCTTTTGAGCCATTACCAGTATCAAGAGCTGATACTGGAGATCTGTGGAGGCGCGACTGCACCCTGCGTGACGGGAGATGTCTCCCGTGAGCAACAGTAAGTTATGGGTCCTCTAATAGGTTAGGTGGACAGGAAATTCTCATAAAGTTTCACAATGGTATGAAAAACGTTAATGGAAAGAATCCTTTTCTAAGCTGGCCGAGTAAGCCGGACGACTCAAACAGAAAACGGAACAGTACGTCACTTTTGTGAGTCGATTTCATTTCAAATTACTTCCAAATTTGGCCATAGCGCGCATACCAGCCAAAAGTGACGTTATTTTTAAGAGGACGGGTTGTCCAGCGCCAGATCTCCAGTATCAATAATTGATACAGATAATGGCTGCGAAGAGTCTCCTCTTAGGGGCTCACCATAGCCCATGCTACTTGGAACTTTCTGTTCTGAGAAGCTGAATCTAAAATAGCAACAACATTTTACCTGTTCCCCACCTCAGTCTTTCCATATTTAAAGTCCATTCTCTCACACCCCAGCTGTCTCCCTTACACCCTAGCTGTCTCTCTTACACCCCAGCTGTCTCTCTTACACCCCAGCTGTCTCTCTTACACCCCAGCTGTCTCCCTTACACCCCAGCTGTCTCTCTTACACCCCAGCTGTCTCTCTTACAACCCAGCTGTCTCTCTTACAACCCAGCTGTCTCTCTTACAACCCAGCTGTCTCCCTTACATCCCAGCTGTCTCTCTTACACCCCAGCTGTCTCTCTTACAACCCAGCTGTCTCTCTTACACCCCAGCTGTCTCTCTTACACCCCAGCTGTCTCTCTTACACCCCAGCTGTCTCTCTCACACCCCAGCTATCTCTCACACACACCCCAGCTGTCTCTCTTACAACCCAGCTGTCTCTCTTACAACCCAGCTGTCTCTCTTACACCCGAGCTGTCTCTCTTACACCCCAACTGTCTCCTGCACACCCAGCTGTCTCTCACACCCCAACTGTCTCCTGCACACCCCAGCTGTCTCTCACATACCCCAGCTGTCTCTCACACACGCCAGCTATGTTTCTCACACTCCAGTTATCTCTCTCACACCCTAGCTATCTCTCTCACACACCCCAGCTGTCTCTCACACACCCCAGCTGCCTCTCACACCCCCCCAGCTGTCTCTCACACACCCCAGCTGTCTCTCACACACCTTAGCTGTCTCTCACACACCCCAGCTGTCTCTCACACACACCCCAGCTGCCTCTCACACACACACCCCAGCTGTCTTTCACACACCCCAAGCTGTCTCTCACATACCCCAGCTGTCTCTCACACACACCTCAGCTGTCTCTCACACACCCCAGCTGTCTCTCACATACCCCAGCTGTCTCTCACACACCCCAGTTGTCTCTCACACACCCCAGCTGTCTCTCACATATCCCAGCTGTCTCTCACATATCCCAACTGTCTCTCACATATCCCAACTGTCTCTCACATATCCCAGCTGTCTCTCACATATCCCAGCTGTCTCTCACACACCCCAGCTGTCTCTCACACACCCCAGCTATCTCTCACACACCCCAGCTATCTCTCAGCTGTCTCTCACACACCCCAGCTGTCTCTCACACACCCCAGCTATCTCTCACACATCCCAGCTGTCTCTCACACACCCCAGCTGCCTCTCACACACACCCCAGCTGTCTCTCACACACCCCAGCTGTCTCTCACATACCCCAGCTGTCTCTCACACACTCAAGCTGTCTCTCACACACCCCAGCTGTCTCTCACACACCCCAGCTGTCTCTCACACACCCCAGCTGTCTCTCACACACCCCAGCTGTCTCTCACACACCCCAGCTGTCTCTCACACACCCCAGATGTCTCTCACATACTCCAGCTGTCTCTCACACACCCCAGCTGTCTCTCACACACCCCAGCTGTCTCTCACATACCCCAGCTGTCTCTCACATACCCCAGCTGTCTCTCACATACCCCAGCTGTCTCTCACATACCCCAGCTGTCTCTC